GCAGGAAAAAAAAGGAGATCAGATAACATATAAATAAACAGAAAAAGAAGTAAAACTTACATGGGGTTTGGGTTTGGCTTTTTGTTCTTCTTCGATAAATTAATAGGATTTGTGTCTTCCCGACAAATGAGGAAATGAGGAGAAGAAGATGCCGGTGATATGGTCTCGAAACGACTCCCGACACTCAGATTGAAATTGCGGCGACACGGAGGTTAGGATTATTGTCGAGTTAAGCCGCGAAGAAAGCTGATTGGGCTCACTGAGTTTCAAATCTTATTAGCTTTTCAATGACTATCGTTTTGAGCTTCTGCTTGGGCTTAAAAGACTTGGGCTAATTAGAGATTTTAGTGCTAAAAATAGTCTGAAAACTCGCACCATTTGTCCTTGTGGGTAAAAATGTTATATGCATATAAAGGTTTAATTTACAAATTAGCCTTTCAAGCACATCAGTTTCTCACTTGCACCCAATATAAATATTTTCTGTTTCTATTTAGCCCTCAAAATATACCAATTTCCACTTCATGAGCTAATATAACTAATTTTATATAATTGTTGATTTCAATTGAAATTCCATGTATGAGTTAATCACATGCATGGATCAAATACAAGTCATCAATTAATTGACCCTCTAATTTTCATCCTATGATCCAAAAAAAATTGTCATTCTTTCATAGATGACACAGAAAAAAAGGGCAAGTGTTCTGAATTCAGTGCTTATTCCCGAGTATTGCACGTTCTCCTTTTTTTTTTTTTATAATATTGTGCAGTCTGAAATTTTTCTAGGTAAACAAACATCTAAACCAGGCAACGCCCGAAGTGCACGTTTTCTGGAAGATGCACATCGTGTATTTTTTTTTTTTTTAAAATGAGTAACCATTTCCTACCAACTAAAGCGAAACTACCTTTTTTAAGTTGGCATTTAAAAGAGGTAAAAACAGGGGAATTTGGTTACTTGAAGAAATACACAATTGCCACATATTGTAGCATAAACCCATGTTTTCAACAGCCTAATGCCTTGTCCCAAAGTCCAAACCCATCCATCTACGTCTTCAACTAACTCTGCCAGTTTAGGCTGCAACTTTCAACTTCCCTCAAAACAATAAAAATCTTAAGTTTGAACTTTTACTAATTCATTAAAGTAATTGTTTTTAGATTAGAAAATTGAATCTAGCATTTTTATAGTTTTTGGTAAGAATAAGATTAGAAATTTTGGTCTATTTGTTGGGTTATCATAAATCATGGGCTTTTTTTATCGAAATATCACTCGTACACTTAATAATTACCTATCAGTCACCCTTTCTCTTAATATTACCGATCTAGCACCATTTCTGACAAAACACGGATCGCCATCCATCCGTGCCTTTGCAGGGTTCTGTCCGAGTTGGCGCCACGTCAAAAAAGGCGCGGATCGTTATCCACGTCTTCGCAGGATTTCTGACATGTACGTAAGGTTCGGATAATGATTCACTCATTCAATTATTGGTTGCTTTAAACCCTCCCCTCCTTTATAAATAAAAATCACTCTAAGCAAACATCACCATATCAAAGTTACTTGCTTTTTTTTTTGTTTTTATCAATTCTTTTTTTTTTTGTAAGGTAAAACTATTTTTTATTATATTATTTTTATTTTATATATGATTATTTGAATAATTTTTATTATACTAATTATTTTGTATTATTTTTGCGGTTGTAAAATTGGAAAGTGAGATTATACCTCGAGATATTTTTGCCGATACGGTAACAATATAAAATTATGTTATTTAAATTATTGTGAAATTTTTTAATTTTTTTGAGTTTATATTTTAATTTATATACTATTTATTTAATTAGGCGTATTTCAACTATTGTTTTTACAGATATAAGACTCTCAATCTTTCAAACTCTCAAAATGACGTGTATTTCAGCTATTGTTTATTATGATGGAGAAAATTTGGAAGATGAAACCGGAATCGTCTTCGCATCAAATCATTCTGTCTAAATATCCTTCAAGAAAAACATCACTCTTGAGGAGCTGATAACGAAAATTTCAAGGAAGGTTCATGTTGGAAGTACTAGAAGATTATCCTCACTTCAGTACATATTTTCAACAGTAGTATTTCTGTTAACTTATATAGCGTTCAAACTATCCAACGATGACGATGTTGCTATGATGATTTATTCTCAAAATTAATATTCAGATGCTGATACACAGATGTATGTGAAATTTTTTGAAGTGCGTGTTGTTCGTGGTATGTCATTATACTCCCACTATGAGTTAACTCAACAAGCTGATCAAGTTAACAACCGAACTCAAGTAATGTGTAATGATTTTAACTCGTTAATGGGAAATCCACATCATGGTGTCATCCCATCCAGTTCAATGGGGAGACATTCATCAACAACTTCTTACAATCTGTACCGAGTTGGCTCCACAAACAATCCGTATGGCAACATCGTGTCCAGTTCAAGGGGAAGACATTCATCTGCCAATTTTTTTACATGAATATGGAGATGCCCTCGACGCAACAATCTGTGCAGTACCTATTTGACATGATGCCTTAAAGTTCCAGGTGAGATATTCAACTGTGAGCTTCTTCGACCTCAATGTCGATATGCCTTCAAGTTCAAGGGGAAGACATGCAACTACTAGCTTGTTTGACCTAAATGTCAACATCGTGGAAGAACCCTTATCTCTACCAGAAGAACCTCTTCGTCGGCCAAGTACAGATGATACTGAGACTGGACTATTCGTTCAGCCAGAATCACCGCAGTTCAATATGGACTCCAATAATGATGATGTATATGAAGTTCCCATAAATACGGTACACATCAAACCTCCAGCACACATGTATGAAGCTAACTATGGTGCAATGTACGGGCCAGAATTTGCGAATATGCCTAATGTCGGTGACTAAGGATTTAACACATCAATCAATGATGATGAGTTATATAAAGGAATAGAGTTTCCATACAAAGAAGAAACGATGATGTCAATTAAGAATTACAACATTCATAATTCTGTTCAGTCCAGAGTCGACCGTTCAACCACCGAAAAATATGTCTATCAGATGGAATTTGATGGTTCGCGTATCGAAGAGAAGAGAAAAATAATATATGTGAAGTAACAGTATACAATGGTCCTCACACATGTTGTGCTAGAGGGATCAAGTAGGATCATCCATACTTGGACTCTTTCATTATCTGTCAATTCATCATGCCCATGGTAAAAACAAGCTCCCATATAGCTATTACGGTGCTGATTTCAACTATACAATCGTAGTATGGGTATATCGTCTCATACAGGAAAGCATGGAATGCAAAGTAGAATGCTATTAAAAAACTTCACGGCGAATGGGATGCATCTTACAACGAACTACCAAGTTGGTTTAGGGTAGTGCGCAGATTGAATCCTGGGATAATTGTCGACTTTGAAACTTGCCATGGATACCACAATGATCGAGGGCTTTGCGATCGATGCCATTTCTACCTGTTTTTTTGTACTTACCTACAGTACATTAATGTAGTGAAATATTGCAAGCCCGTGGTCCAAATCGACGGAACATTCTTGTATGGAAAATACAAGCAAGTATTACTATTGGCAGTTGTCCAAGATGATAATCGCAACATTCTTCCAGTTGTTTTTTCTCTTGTTGAAGGAGAAAATACATATTCTTGAGCTTTTTTCTTCAGAAACTTACGCTTACATGTTGTCACGAGAGAAAAAATCTGTGTCATTTCAGATCGTGTGGCTGTGGGATTCAAGCTAACTCATTCAGAGTTAATCTACGAGACCTCTTCAAGGGATTCAAGCTAACTCGTTCAGAGTTAATCTACGAGACAGATGGTGTGGCTATGGGTTTTTTCAAGCTCTAAAAGTATTCATGCTCTCATGTCATAGCAACTTGCTCTCATACCAATCAAGACTATAACCGTTTTGTGAATCTCGTATACCAACTTTCAGAAGTGTTTAAGGTATATGAATTTGAGTTTCCCCATAGGTAATGAGAAATACCCTGATAAGGTTCAAAATTGGCTTCTGATTGTACCAGATCCGTCCTTAATTGAGGAAGCCCGATCGTCCAAAATCCACTCGAATTCATTGTGATATGGATATTCGGGAGACGTCCAGAGAAAACAAAAGATGTGGGCATTGTAGAAACCTAAGACACAATAGGAAAAAATATCTATCTCTTTTGTCATCAAGTAACTGTTGATGATGTGATTGATGTAGTTGTTGTTTATGAAATCTGAGTTTTTGTTATTTAATTTTCATTTACTTTCAGTGAATGTCATTTGAGCATCACCGATTAATTGAAAATTCAAGAAATTAAATAATAAAAACAATTCTAACAAATTAAAAACAATAAAACGATACAACTAAAAAAATAAATACAACTAGATAATAAAATCAATTTGAACAATTTAATAATAAAAAAATTAAGAAATAAAATAAATAAAAAAGTCCATAATTAAATAAAAGTTTACAATTGCTGGTAAACAAACAAAATTAAATAAAAACATACTGAAGTAAACAACTCTATCGATGTCGACGTCTTGAATGTGTTCCGCAAGGCTGTAGTTGTCTGTGGCGACGAGGATTTCTTCTAATAACTTGTTCTGCCTCCTTACTCTCATTATCATCATCATCAGAAGTAAATACATTTTGTTGATGAGGGACGAATGACGATGTAGCACCTCCATAGAATAAAGATCCTGGATGTGTATGACTGACTATCCCACCGCTCATAGAAAACTGTGAAAACTGTGAAAACTGCGAAAATACTAACATCAATGGGTGTGAAAATTACACCAGAGGTGTCTGTGCATGTGGTAAAGCTTCACCCACCAAATAACTAACATATGAACCCCAAGTTGGATATACAAGCATGCAATTATAATATCTGTCAGGAGGGGTCATAAAACTTTACGGCGGTGGCAACATTTGGTATGGAAGTGGTGGCGTCTGACCCGACTGTAGTGGCATATGAAATGGCTACGGTGATATCTGAAATGACTACGGAATGTACAGTGATGTAGACGGTGGTTGTTGTGATAGTTCTAGTGTTGCAGCTGATGACGAGCCAGAAGTGTCCGTCAACGAGTCATAGGACGATGATGTTGTGACGGTAGACGTCTTTGTTGACGTCGATGAATGCTCCTGTGTCGCGCTTCCTCGGAAAGTAGGAACGATTTCATGATCATGTTGAACCACTCATAATATCCACAACCGAGTAATGGTCCACATAAATGGGTTATGTATGGGGAATGCACCCACGTCGATCCTCTCATATCATTACCCACTCAACGTGCTTCAGCAGTCAGTCGACTTCTTTTTTGCCCCATCTATAGATGATAAGCAAATCGTCGAGATTCTTAGGTGCTTCTAGAATAGATTGTACAAAACCAAATTGACAGAGCACACAATTAGTAAGATGTCACTCGACAATAGCAAACATATCAGAGGGACTACTGCCATCCAAATATCTAATGAGCTCTTAAGTGATGTGGGATGCAAATCATAATTTCTTCAGTAGAATAAAGAGCCCATTGAAACTAAAACAAATATATATAATTCTTATCAAAATAATATTCTAATTATATAACGATAATTAAAAGTAGATAATAATAATATTTAAATACATACATTTGTACCAGTCTTCTGATCAATGAGTAGCATAATTTCTTCCAATTCATCAGGTAAATCCCGATGATATTTTCTTGCACTTGACCACCTATTCAATGAAATAATTTTCATTATATACTCAACAAAATTATTTATATACGAAATCAGTATTGAAATTACCTCAATAATAGCGGGCATAAAAAGGGCATGAAATACCAAGCCCAAGACTGGAGAAGAATGAGACATCCGCCAATAGCATTTTTTCGATAGTCAGTAGCTCGACACATTTCCCTATACAAAAATGTCAAAACTGTAGAGCCCCAACTGAGTGTGCCAGCATGATGAAAATCTGTGAGGTGACGCAACCACATACAATGAACTTGGTTGTGAGATTTGTCGGACATCAGGATCCCTCCTATGAGCTGTAATATGCAAGCCTGTGCATACATTTCAACATGCTCCTCGGAGGCGTCACAACTCAAATGTTGGAAAGTTGTATCCAACCAATTTAACGGTATTCGAACACCGTTGAAATTAAGCAGGACACCCCAAGATACTCCTTGCACAAGGAATGTCAGTCACCATGCATCACCCCAAAAATCACATTCCCATCTACCAGAAGCCCCAAATGCATGAAAACATTCTCTAACGTAATTGTGCACTCTCTACACGGAAGATGAAATGTGTGTGTCTCTGGTCTACACCTCTCAACCAATGTTGAAATAAGGTTGGATTCAACGTTATAGTGCCCTTCATATTTTGCTACGTAACCGAATTCAGCCTTGACTAAATACGGTCATACAGGTTACGAATAATGATTCTAATATACGGTTTATCTCATAATTTAATAAATATTATAGAAATTAAAATATAATCTAATACTAAACAAATTAAATAAATAAAACATTTACAATAATTAAAATTACAACAGAATTTTAAATTGTTACCGTATCAACAAAATGTCTCGAGATATGATTCCCATCTAAACGTAACAAACTGTCTTCCATTTTATAATTACAAAAATTAAGAAAAAGTTAGTTTAATAAAATTTAATAAAATAAGAAATTATTGATTTATTATAATATAATAAAAATATTTTACATTCTTAATAGAAAGATTGATACTCGGAAGAATGAGAGAATTTGAGATTTTAGTGTGGTTTAAAGGTTGTGTTTGGGGAAGAGGGGAGGGGTAGACAAGTTCCCATAAATGTGGGAGGTTGACAGTTGGGGTATTAAAGGAAATGTGTAGATCATTATCCGCGTCTTACGTACGTGTCAGAAATCTCGCGAAAGCACGATAACCATCCACGTCTTTTTTAACGTGACGTCAACTCGGATAAGACACATATTACCATCAACACCTTTCTTGTTGTGACGCCAGTTCGTACAGAACGCCGCAAAGTTATATGTGTTTTGTTAGAAAGAGTGTTAGATCAATAATATTAAGAGAAAGGGTGCCTAACAGATAATTATTAGACGTATAGATGATATTTCGGTAAAAACGTCAAATCATGGTGGCTAAAAATACTGATAAATAGGATGAATTATTTCATGACTTATCCAGAGCCACTACAATTGAGTACTTGTTTCTTCTGTTACTCACCTCTTCCCTCGTCAACATTCCCTCCTTGTTCTAATGGAAGTTGCCAGGTTCCTTCCTACTTTTTACAATTCTTTTCACGTTGTTTTATGATCTCTACAGACTGAACTTAAAATGTTGGACAATTTTGCAGCTTCTGGATTCATGTTCTAAGGCTACAGATTTTGGGAACTGCCCTACTTTGGGCAAGACTCAATCTTTTTGTATCAGAGGCAAAGCCACCATTCCCTCTTCGGTTGTGAGCTTCTTCTTCTTCTTTTAAGTCAGTTCAGTTATGTTGCTTATAGCTCTTTGCCGTCGGTTCAGTTGTAATAAACCATGATCGCTAAAAATACAAATAAATAGGATAACTTGTTTTACGGGCTTATCCAGAGCCACTGCAGTTGGGTACTTGTTTCTTCTGTTACTCGCCTGTTCCGTCATCAACATTTCCTCTTCTTGTTCTAATGGAAGTTGCCAGGTTCCTTTCTTCTTCTTCTTTCCTTTCACATTCTCTTTCCCTTTCGTTTATGATCTCTACAGCTTGAACGTGAAATGTTTGACAATTTTGTCAGCTTCTGGATTCATGTTCCAAGGCTACAGATTGTGGTACAGGTCTTTATTGTGGGAACTGCCCTGCTTTAGGCAAGACTCAACCTTTTTGTATCAGAGGCAAAGCTGCCATTCCCACTTCAGTTGTAAGCTTCTTCTTCTCCTCTTCTTTCTAGCATCTTAATGATGGGTTTTTGTCGTTTTGAGCAAACATGGTGTAAATTTGTTTACTTTTTGGCAAGGAAGCTCTTTGCTTCCATTTGTGTGTGTTATTTGGTGATGGAGATAATTTTTTTTGGTGTGAATTGTGGGGTGGTAGATTGGTGGATTACCTTTCAACAAATATTCATGGTTGGTCACACACAATTCCTTCAGCATAGTGAATGCTCCAGCTTTACCAGGTGTTCAAAGATTGACATTTTATAATCAAGAAGACACTGTTACCAATCAATTGAAGGTCTGTAGTTCTATTGTCTTTAAATCACCTTCTTATTCTTTTAGAATCTTAGGGAAACTATAAGTGAAGGAATCATATAGAATGGAGAAACTAATAAAAACAAATAATTTTCTTCATTTTTCAACTAATTTGCTTTGCTTTTTGTTCATTGTTTAGAATGGAGTTAGGGGGCTGATGTTGGATATGTACGATATCAATGGCGATATTTGGCTCTGCCATTCATTCCAAGGGCGATGTTTCAACTTCACTGCCTTTGTAATATATTATTTTCTATCTTAAGGATTCAACAATCATCTTTTCTTTGGTAATATCTATTTTCATGTTTTATGGAATCATTTGTAATATGCTTATTGGATGGTTTTCAGCAACCTGCAATTAACACCTTGAGGGAAGTGGAAGCATTCCTGAATCGAAATCCAACAGAGATTGTAACCATTATAATCGAGGACTACGTGCATACACCGAAAGGGCTGACTAAGCTTTTTGCTAATGCTGGTTTGAACAAGTATTGGTTTCCGGTGTCCAAGATGCCGAAAAAGGGTGAGGATTGGCCTACCCTAAATGAAATGGTGCGAGTGAATCACCGGCTTTTGGTCTTTACTTCGGTTGCTTCGAAGGAAGTGGAGGAAGGAATTGCCTATCAGTGGAAGTACTTATTGGAAAGCGAAGGTAACGATTATGTACATACAATCCCTTTGTTTATGCCTTCATACCGTATACTAGCTATGTAGTAACGCCTTCATGGTGTTTTGGGTTTCAGCTGGAGATCCAGGGGTAAAGCCAGGCAAATGCCCAAACAGAAAAGAATCACAGCCGCTTAATTCGAAAAGTGCCTCTCTTTTCCTTATGAATTACTTTTCGACTTTCCCAGATGAAGATCAAGCTTGCAAAGTGCATTCAACACCACTAGCTGACATGATCCTCACCTGCAACAAAGAAGCCGGGAATATGATGCCGAACTTCTTGGCAGTCAATTTTTACCTGGTATTCAGATGTAACTGATATCTATAAATTTGTTTTAAACTATGCAAAGCACTAACCATAGAACACGGGATAAATCATGCAGAGGAGCGAGGGAGGTGGTGTTTTTGATGATCTGGATAGCATCAATGGCCAGAGACTATGTGGATGTAATACTATTGCAGCCTGTCAGGTTTGTTGATATGCATTTACCATTCGTGTTCTGATTTTCATCTAAGTCCTTTGAAGGCTAATTTTGCAACAAGCCTTTGTTCCACTGATAGAAACATTTTATATGGCATACAGCCACAAGAATCTACAAATTTCAACTTTTTTTTTCTAATCCAAATTTTCACCAATGGCTATCAGATATTACTTATCATTGTCTGGGAGAGACTGAAACAATATCTCTGTTTTGTTCTTATGCAGCCTGGGGCACCCTTGGGATCTTGCAAGAACATTTCAATACATACTCCAAGTCCGGCGATAGATAACCTCGGAAGCTTTTCTGGACCCGTTGAGTTCTCAGGATCCACTTCAACAATCTATCATCCTAACCACTTGATTTTTGCCTTGTTTTTATTTCCATGGATCAGCTCATCATTTCTCTGGAACAGGTAGTTTTTCAGGATATCATCTACACTTCTTGGAGGGCTTATAATATGCGATGGTACGTAAACTCCAGAGTCAGAATTTGATTACAATCAAAAGATTTCTTGAGATTCCTCTGTTGAGGCAAAAGTAAATATACCTAGTTGTTCATGTATGCAATCTGCTTCATTATTGTATGATTTATCAAGTTAGCTGCAAGGTTAAGTTGCTATTAGTCTGATAAATTTGTATGCATTAGATATGAGCAGTATTGTATTTAAGAATAAAGTGTTTACCAATAGTACTTATACAGCAATTTTAGCTTGCGTATTCTAATGGACTACATTTTCGTATGGTAATCTAGCTACGAATTTGTTGAGTGTCCTTTTTTTAAAGATGATTGAACCAACCAATTTGAACACAGTTTCTTGGAGGTAAAGTTTCAATTTATTGAATCAACAAATTCATAAAATTACAATTGATATACCCAGAAGAATGAACACCTTATATTACAGGTAACATTGCCACTGCCCCAACGTTTAATGGCAAACCTCGTGGTTTGATCTGAAGAGCTGGTCGGATAGTAAGCAAACCAATGAAACAGTCCCATGGAACTCTAGTTCCCCACACATTGATCGACTCTAGTTTTCGACATTTACTTACAAGAACAAACAGTCCTGTTTCTGTAACATGACGGCAACTCCACAGGACAATGCTCTGAGATTAAATGATAATTAATGAACCAAAATTCAGAATCTCAATCATCTCTAAAGAACAAACAAACTTCAAGAAAAAAGAAAAAGAAAAAAAGAGGGGGGGACTAACCTTTAAATGTGAACAGTTATCGGCAATGGCAGATAAGGATTCATCGGTGATAAAGGTACCACCGACGTTGAGGTGTTTCAAGGAATTGGCTCTGGTCATCTGTTTGAGAAAATCAAGTTCATCAAGTGCGGGCCAAGAAGATTGACTAATGAGTAAAAAGGCTTTTACATACCATTTGAACAACACCTTTGTCAGTGATCCCAGTCATACCCCAAAGTGAAATTGATGTCAGGTTGCTAACACACTTTGCTAATGAGATCTGGTATAGTCCATCGTCAGTTATTTGACAACCCCAACGACTTCTTGAACTGTAATTGTAATAAGAAATTAGTACAAGAAAATGATTACCATATATAAAATTATGTTAATCGAATTCAGTTCCAATACTTGACATATCAGGCAAGTACCAATACGACATGTTCATCATATATATATATATTCAGAGAAAAAGAAGAACGAATTAAGAAATCATCAAACAAGGAACCCTAGAAGTGATTTACATGTCGAGTTCTTTGAGGCTATAAGCATGACGAACGAGACGAGCAGTGGAATCATCGTCCATTTTACAGCCAGCAAAACTCAGGGATTGTCTTCTAGCCAGAGCCTGTGTCACTGCTTGTTTCCATTTCCTACAAACCCCACTTGCCCTACCAAGAATAATAATATAATCTCTCCATAACAATCACCATTCAAAAGAAGCACAAAATAGAAGCATAAATAAACAAAGAAGAAGAAAAACATACTGGGCTAAATCGGTGAATGAAGTGATCATCACCAGTATATGAGCCAACAAGTCTATCGGCAATCGCTCCATCTCTGTCTCTTCCTCCATTAACCTTCAAAAACACAGCACAGATCTTTTAATTTTCTTTTGAGGTTTTTTAGTTTCGTATTACGTCAAGAAAGGGGAGTTGAAACTTGAAAGTTGAATAGAACTTTTATACAACCAACATAACCCAAAAAAATGTGGTCATTGTTTTGTCATAATTTCGTGAATATTACCTTTAAAAAAACAAGGTTAAATTAAACATTGACCACCTAACTATTACTCCTTTTCATTTTGACCATCATTTTTGAAATTTTATCAATTGGGTCACCTAATTATTTAAATGAATTCAATCAAGTCTTAACACGTGGCAATTAATAAAATTAGTACAATTACACATTTGATCCTCAATACTTATATATTATATCAATATAGTCATGATTTTAATTTATTAAATTTAATTCTCCAATCAGATATTGACCCATGTCATCGTATAATTAATGATTACTTTTTTATACTTTAATATATTTAATTTAATTATTTTTCGTCCAATCATTTTAAGGGTGTTTGGGAGGACTTGAACCCAGGTCTTTGGAGAAGAAGTGTGTCATCATATCTGTTGTATATATATATATATATAGATATATGATAAGATTTGAACTTAGACTAATTATAAAATTTAGCAACATAAAATCACTAAAGCATATATTATATTTAGTTAAATATTTAGATATATTTTATATATTTCTTAAACACTAGTTTATACAAGATTAAAAAAGAAGCTAAATTTAAATTTTAAATGATTAAAATTGATTTCTAATTACACATATTAACTATGTAATCTTATAAAAATTAATTAAAATAGAAATGATTTGTACATTTTAATTTTTAATAAAAATTAAATTATCAATTAAATTAAAAAGTGTCAATTTTTAGATTATATCTATAATCATTATAAATGTTAAACATTAGTTCATACAAAATTAAAAAAAGCCTAAATATAAGATTTAAACATGATTAAAATCGACTTTTAATTCTACATTTTAACTATGTAATTCAATAAAAATAAATGATTTGTATATTTTATTTTGTAATAAAAAAAATAAAATTATTATTAATTAAGTTAAAAAGTATTAATTTTTAGACTGTATCTATAATCATCAATTAAAATCGACTTTTAATTATACGTTTTAGCTATGTAATCTAATAAGAATTTAATAAAATATAAATGATTACTCTAATTTTTAATAAAGTAAAACTATTAGTTAAATAAAAAATATCAATTTTGAGACTATATCTATAACTATTAAATTTTCAATGTGAAAAAATAGAAATATTAAATTTAGTTTAAAATATAAAAATTTAAATTTAATTTCTATTTTAGTCTTGTATAAATTAATGTTTAAAATATACATAAATCTATAGAAATAACAACTAAATATAATATATGCTTTACACCCATTTTCCTTTTCTTTTTTCTGATATTAATTTAAGTATAACATATATATATATATATATATATATAGCGAGAGAGAGAGAGAGATTGAGTACTTAGGGGGACACTTTTCATCTCTAAAGACCCAAGTTTGAGTCCTCTCAAACTCTTTATGCTTTTCTTTGTAATTTATTTTCCATCCAATCATATGATGTCATGTGTAATTATTTAGTTAAATAAAAAACAATTAAATTAAAAATATTAAGTTATTAAAAACAACCTTTAATTATACAATGACATATGTCACTATCTTATTGGAGGATTAAATTTAATAAATTAAATAAAAATCATGACTAAATTAATAGCATATATAAGCATTGAAGATCAAATATATAATTATACCATTTTATTAAATATAAAGACTAAAAATTTCCATATTAGATTGATTTTAATCGATTAAATCCATATAAGTATTGAAGAATATGTATGAAACCTAATTGAAACTAAAATCAATTAGGTTAATTCTTGACAATGATTCATACACATTCTTCAATTTAATCGATTTTAGTTTCAAAATTTAACATTCATTGTCAAGATTGAAATTTCAAAACTTGAAAAATATAAAGACTAAAAATTACCATATTAGACCAATGAGGCCTCTGTTGTGATGGCAAAGGTTGAGGTCCTAGAACCTTGAGTGCTTCGGTTCAAGTTCCCTCTAACTTAAATTATCAAGCGTACGAGTATATATTGATTACCATTATAATTGCAACTTTTGAAAAGATTAAAGTAAAGTATAGAGATCAAATATATAACTTGCATATAATATAGGGATCAATAGAGAAATTCTACCTTATCTGAATGGTGGCCTTTGCTTGGCTACTTTCTTACATTAGCTGTCATACCGTGCGTGTATGTCTTTGTAATTCTCACGTGGCCTGGGGCCACTAGATCCGTTTCTTGTCTAAGAGGGTAAACTACAACCATGAGCCTTTTTTAGTCATTAAACTAAACATATTATCGATTTAGTCACCAAAGCTATAAATTTTGATCAGTTTGGTCATTGACTGATATATAGTTAAGTGTATTGATGATGTGATAGTGTTTAAACTGGTATAATAACATATTTTCTTTAAGCTTAGGAATGAAATTAGAATAATTGAAAATAAAAAATAAAAAAATAAAAGATAAATCATTATTATTTTCTTTTTATTTATATATCCGTAGGAAGATAAGAAAATTGGGCAAACGCAATTATTTATTTATTTATTATGTGATAATTTCGTATGAATTATTGTGTTTATCATATCAATCAACTACAATTTCATTCAAACATCAAAGATAACTTTAATCAATCATCAATGATAATAATAATTTTTTTAACATTTAAATTTAGAATGTAATATTATTTGAGATACCCGATATCTATGTCACATATAATTCTCAGTATGAGAATTATAATAAAATAATAAATTCAGTCGATAACAACTTCAATCAATGGATAAAATTAAATTATGTTTGTGATAACTCATATGAATCATTTGTGTAATGACATGGTATATGTATGATTAATAATATGATAACAATAAGCCTTCATATATTTATGTATTACTCCAGGTTAGTTTAAGACTCATTTGTATTCATATGCACAAATTGATATGCTATATGTGTTATATATCGCATGCCTTATTTTTTTCACTTAATATTTATGTATTATTTGTCTCATATTGTACTATTGAGTAGTTGTATTTTACTGAATTTTGTAGACTCAACATTAATTATTTCCTTACGTAAGTAGTTAAATTGTGTTGAGTTTGATCAAAGCACCAACATCATTTATGAGTTTTAGTGTAATCTGTATCTGAGCACAATGTTATACCACTTTAATAGGGCATCATTAATTATAAGACCCTTATATATATATATATATATATATATATATATATATGGTCTGTAAATTCATATGTATGTATATATTGTTTGATATATTTTGGTAGGGAACTTGTAAGTGAAAAAAATAAATAAGATATATGCAAGGGGTGAGATTCTAATGTGGTTCGATCTTGCCCAGTTTCACTGATGAAAAAATATAATAATTCATTATAAACGTAGAGATCACGAAAGGTACAAATACATGATATTGATAACTCTCCAAAAGAGTTATCTTTTAAGATCTTTTCACCTAGGTTAAGCTTGAACTTCAGCATTATTAGGAACACATTAGGATCATTTGTACATGTTTTTGCATCATTTGCATCATGTGAGTTAGTTGAGAAACTTTGGGCTTAATTTGCTTTT